ACGTTCAGAACAAAGAGACAATACTGAAAGCTGCAAAAGAAAAACAACAAATCTCGTATAAAGGAAAACCCATTAGGATTACAGCTGACTTTTCAGTGAAAACTATGAAAGCCAGAAGAGCCTGGATGAAAGTATTCCAGTTCTAAATGACCACAGATGCCAACCCAAATTACTGAGCCAAAATGTCTATCATAGTTGAAGGGGAAAGAAAAATCTTTCATGATATATAGGCTGAAGGAATTCATGTTTGTAAAACCAGCCCTTCAGAGAGTTCTTGAAACAATACAAAGAGCTGAAGAAAGGAACGACTATATACAAAGGGTGACGGAAAGAAATCCAATGAATGTAACTGTGGAAAAGTACAGATATATCAAGAATGTAAACAGAAATAAAAAAGACAGGATTCAATACACATCTTTCATTAATAACTTTAAATATCAATGGACTGAACACCCCAGTCAAAAGATACCAACTAGTTGAATGGATTAAGAAACAAAACCCATCTTTTTGTTGTCTGTAAGAAACTCATCTCACTGTCAAGGACAAGCACTACCTTAAGGTGAAAGGATAGAAAAAAATACGAATAGTACTAAGAAAAAAGCAGGCGTTGCAACTCTAATATATGATAAAATAAAGTTTAAAACTAATCAGAAGAGACAAAGGTCACTTCATTCTGATCAAAGGAACAATAAACCAAGAAGATATTACAATTATGAACATATACTCACCAAACTCTGGTGCACCCAATTTCATAGAAACAATACTACAGGACTTTAAGACCCAGATTAATCCCAACTGATTGTTTTGCATACAATTGGTAGGAAACGTGTTTTAACACAAAATGCTTCTGTTCATTCGTTTTCAATAGAGAAAACACATTGTTAGAACTATGGTGTTTCCACCCAAGCACCAAAGAATACTTTTTCTATTCAGCACCCCATGGAACTTTCTCACAAATTGACCACATACTGGGACACAAAACAAACCTCAACAAATACAAAAGACAAAAAAAGAAATAATTCCATGCATTCTAAAAGAAATAATACCATGCATTTTATCAGACCACAATGCAATAAAGCTTAAAATCAACACTGCAAGAAACCCTAGTAACTACATGAACACATGAATATTAAACAACATTCGCCTGAATGAAGAATGGGTCAAAGGAGAAATTAAGAAAGAAATAAAAGTATTTCCGGAACTAAACAAAAAGGACAACACAACACAACACAACAAAACCTCTGGGACATACTGAAAGCTGTCCTCAGAGAGAAGTTTATAGCTCTAAGCGCCTACATTAAAAAAATCAGAAAGATCACAAATAAATGACTTAACATTGCAACTCAACACACTTGAAAAGCAACAACAAATGAAACCCAAACCCAGCAGACAAGAAGAAA